TTTTCCCCAGCTATTGACCGGAATTTCTGCCATATTTCCGTGACTTTGGGCATCCTAGTTATGGTTGTTACGTACTTTTCCCAGGTTGATCGTTTTGCTGTTAGTATTTTTCTGCGAGCGAGTGCACGCAGACGCTTGAAAGCAATAAGATTGTCTTGGGTTGGTGCACGTCTATATCTATTGAGGGCTTTTCTTTTCTCCCTTATTGCTTCTTTGAACTCCGTATTCCACCGTGGTACTGGAATCCTAGATGAGCGGCCACTAGTCTGTGTAATGTATTTTACAGCAGAAGATAGGACAGTGTTGAATCAGTAACGTCTTTCTCTGAGTTTCCACTGACATTTATTGGTGGTATATGTCTGGTGAAGCTGGACCGGTCAGCACGGTTGGTACACCAACGTTTCGGTAAATGTACTGTGTTCTTTGGCATGCGGAAAGTGATCACTCTGATGAAGATCTGGCAGTGGTTTCCACGTCAGCCGAGTTGCAAGATTTGGACTACATATTGAGAGATCTATGGTTGATCATCGTCATGCGCAGGTCATCGATTCTGCGACCGGAGTTATTTGTTCTAGAACAGCCCCATGTGGTACTGTGAGCATTGAAGTCGCCTAGAATTAGAAATGGAGGCTGTAGTTTATCGATCAGGTCTTGTAGATTTTCATTTCGCCATGAGGCATCGGGTAAGTATATGCAACATACCGTTATCTTCAATGGCTTGTATAGGGTTACAGCTACTGCTTGTAGAGGTGTGTTGAGATCGAGACGACTAGCAGGATATGTAATGCTGATCAGTATGGCAACACCACCTTTAGCTCGTCTATCAGGTTCTACGTCACTGCGAAAGGTTTTATATCCTCTAAAATTGAAACGGTCTTCTGATTTAAAATGGGTTTCTTGTAAGCACACACATTGGTGTGTGATTGGCTAGTAGCAATTTCAGCTCACAGTAATGCGAGATACAGCCGTTAATATTCCATTGAGTTATATTTTCTATGGCTGGAATGGGGTTTTTCTGCTATAGGATGCGTAGATCCTGCTTATTTTCTTGGTTTTCCTTTTGGCCATCCTTTCTTCTTTCTCTTCTTACGCGGGGTTTTGCATAGATCGATGGATTGGTAATCATTATTTTCAGCGCTTACCATCGAACTTGTCTTAGAGCCAGTGGTCGTGTCTTCATCATTGGTCATTGATGATTTCATTTTTTGGTTGAGGAAGTTGTCCTTGGTGTGCTTAGGGGAACGAGGCGATCGACTTCGATAGCCTGTTGTCGATACTTCTTTGTGGGTGTGGCTGCAGACGTAGCTATTGAATTTCTTTCTGCCTCATTTGGTGGAGGTGTTGATGATTGTTTTTTCATTTACCATTTCACTTTGAGTGTTTGTGGTTGTCTGTGTTGATTTTGTTGTTGTGAATTTCATTGAAATACTTTTCTATGAGTTATTGCAGGCATTAGTTCTTTCAGTACTAAAGAAGGTAAATTTGTGCTTTTAGTAACTGCTTCCACGTATGTAATATTTCCTTTATTTTCAGGACACACACATTTTTTTGCTTCAGGATAGCTCATCTGTCTGGCTTTTACTTGTATTGCTACCTCCTGCTTATATATTGGGCAGTCTCTTGACCTTGATGATTGTTGTCCACTGCAATTAATGCATTTGATAGGATCTATGCATGGATCATCACTATGAAATGGCTTATCACAATGACATACTTTGATTCTCGCACATCTAGATGCTGGGTGTCCAAAACGTAAACATCGAAAACAGTGCATTCGTTGAGTAATGAACATTCGTACGGTAGATGATGAATGCCTGCTTTAATCTTCCCTGATAAAGTACAACGCTTGAACGTCAGGACATGGGACGCTGAAGGAATTATCTGCCCATCCCGCCTCATTGTTACCCTACGACAGGCAATGACTCCTTGAGAAGCTAGTTCTTGAACTATTTCCACTACACTGCAGTTTAGTAAGTCACTACAAACTACAACACCTTTGCAGGTATTCAGCGTGCCCTGAGCACTTACTTCAACATCTAAAGTGCCTATTTTCTTCAATTCTAGTAACTTTTTGCCTTGATTATCATTGAATGTTTCTATCAAGAGTCCATAAGAAGTTTTCTTTAGTCTTTTACGGCAGATCCAGCACAGGTGTTAATACTCTTCTCAATTATAAATGGGCTCACTTTGTCAAAATTCCCTTCTGTTCTTTTTACTGTAAGGTACTTAAGTACCGCTGCGGTGTTCTTGAACAGGTCATTATAGTTCATTGATTTTCCAATTTTCATTCTTTTTGCATTGAACTCCGGGCTTTTTCTGGGCGAGGCTTTTTAAGGGATACCTCAACCCTAGGTTCGCAGACTTCCATACGAGTATCGCGAAGCTTGCTATCACTCGTAGCACTATCTGCCAGCGGTGCCGAGAGATCCGCACCCCTGGCATTGCTGTCGCTGGGTGACGACGCCCGGTGGCCTGCTTGCGCACCACCGACCGCCGGTACTGGGGCTCCGATCCCGTGTACCGTAACTGTTGATCCAGACATATCCTCCATCTTGGATTTTTTTTCTTCAGCGTAACCTTCCCCTAGCGTTTTTGAGCTACCGCTAGCTTAAGGAAACGGAAGGAACAAGGGGGGCAGAGATTAGAGATAGAATAGAAGGGTAGACTGGAAACGACTCCCTAGCCCTCGCAACCTAATAGCGTCGGGGCGGAAACACAAGAGTTGGCCGATACAAGATTGGCCTACAGGACAGAAAACAGAAAGTAAGTGAAAGCAATGACACACGAAGTTAGTGGGAGTGCCTGGATGTTTAGGGGAGTTACAGCGGTCAGCTGCTCCGATTAGTCGCCTTCTATAACAGAGGGAGGTCTCGTGGTGCTATTCTACTAAAATCCCCGGCACCACACGGGGAAATAATAATAATAAAATTATTATTGTAATAATAATTAATAATAACTAATAATAATAATAATAATAATAATAATAATAATAATAATAATAATAATAATTTTATTATTATTATCATTAAATTTCTTCTCAAAATAGAGAAACAAGTAGAGCAACCTTTCTCCCCCGACCCCACCTCTGCAGACATCTGATGACGCGATTCGCTGTACACGGTTTTCATCATAGAATCTGTAGTAACAGGAAATATCACAAGTCATATTTTCAGTGTAGATGCCAAATATACAACAAGTGTTATCAAGCAATGGTATTTGAAAAACGAAATGTCATTGAATATTGCACCAGGGAATAATAGACATTCGCTTCACGCATTTACACAGTATTTGATTGCCTTCCATGTGAGCAGGAAACCAACAGAATGTGCTTATCACTTGAAGACAAGATAAAGTAATGTGAATAAATGTGCAGAAGTATTACCAGGAGCAAAACAGTGTATAAATACAGAAATTTGCAGACACTTCTCAAATACTTATTATTAATGAACAATCTCAGCCATCCAGACTGGCTCGGCTACTCTTTGTACAGCTTGTTGCATACAAATTGAGAATGTGCATTACCATGTGAGATATGATGTAATCTTTATTACAACGCATGTTGTTGGCACCATGGTTCATCAGATGTCTTTTTAAAAATTTATTTTTAATGACAAAAACAGTTAACAGTTACGTACTGCAGGGTAAAGTGTCAGTATCAGCTCGCTACAAGAAATCCACATTTAATACATGAACGTTACTACTTTACATTATATTGTTAGATGACATTAAAAAATTATAATTTATACCCAAGTAACATTTTTTTGCTGCATAATTGTTTCTACATATTTGGAGACTATAGTGAACACCCAAAAGAAAAAATGTAACAATGATATATAATACATTTGTTAACATCTGTACTGTATAATTTTCAAAACACCAAATGTACCTCGAACTAATGATGCACTTCAACTTCTAGGTCAATGACCTTTCCACCTCATTCAAATTTTGCACTCAGTCTCCCTGACCCAGTGAGGAAATACTTAGATGACCCCTTGTTTTGCGTCTGAACATTAAATGTATCTTCACTAAGAGTACATTTTGTTGAGCTCTCCATTTGCTAGTTGTGTTAGGAGTAGAGCTGGGAGTGTGAGTTGCTGTTTTGCTGTTAGCAATAGTGCTAGAAGAACCCAGAAGTTGTTTCGCTCTTCCCCCCTCCCCTTTCTCTCCCTCTATTTTCCCCTATCTGTCTCTCTTTTTCCCAATCATTCTTGTTCCCTCTCCTCTCTGTAGCAGACCTCGGCAGATGTCATGCTCTTCTCTTTTGGCCTTCTCTCCTTTTTTCGTCTCTTTTGTTCTGTCTTTTCCCTTTCTCATTTTCCTCACTCTTTTTTTCCTCCCTTTTCTCAATTTCTCTTCTTCCCTCTTTCATGTTTCTCCTCTCTCACCTCCACCCCTTGTCATCCACTCCACCTGTTCATGTACTCAGTCCACATCACATGGCAAAGCCCAAAAACAATGAAGCCTAGGTGGATTGGGAATTGCATTTAACTGAAGTGCCATCTAGTAGAGTTAGAACAAAATGATCTGCATGAAAAGCTATTCCGTGAAAAAACAGGTAGAAGTTTTAAAAAACAGTTAAAAAACAGTTTTATATATTCTAGAACTTATATATTCTAGAACATGCACAAAATTTTTTCTCCCCACCTGTCATATGCAATTTTTAGTGTTCTATGAACAAATAAATGTAAATAAAATCAATAATAACTCTCACATAATTTCATCCTGTATTTTTTACTTGTTCCTGCTAGTTATACATAATGACTAATATTGTATTTGTTTTGAGATGACAAAAATATTCTCTTTCCTCCTATATTTTGACTTGATCTTCCCAGTTATAAATAATGACTTACTATTGTATTTGTTTTGAGATGACAAACATATTCTCATTGTGATATTTTAAATATTTTATTTTAGAGGAAAAGATATGGGAGACACAAACTGTATTGAATAATTTTACCACTAGTTAAAATACTCTAAAGTTTTTGTGAATTTTTTCTCAGACCTGTATTGAAAGATTTAGCACGTATCCTCTTATTGCTGAATCGTTCAGAAGAAAACATTCTGACCCCACCTGCAGATTGGAATACACTTTTTGCATGGGGTGAGCGAGTATTACGAAGGTACAAAAAGCAAAATCCACATCAGGTAAGAGAAATAGAACATGTAATTCAATTTGATTTAATCTGGCCATCTTACTCTCATTTTTATCTTCTTGTAATATTGATATCTTCTGCACAGGTTGCCCAGGCTCAGTTAGTGAATTTTCTTCAAGTCCCTATTCAAACAAATCCATCTTCTCCGTGTATAAATATAGAGCAAGAAACAAGTAGAAGAGAACTAACTACATTCCAACCTTTCAATGTCAACAAATCAACTGGTCTCAATTCTAGTTTCAAAAGTAATAGCAATAATCATACAGCAGCAAGAGCTTCTAATCAGAGTTTGCAAGAACTTGCTATCTCAACATTCAATAGCAATTACAATAATGCTCCAATGGCAAACACTTTTAATGCAAGTAGTGAAGTTGTATTGCGGCGAGAAGTATCAATGCTACAACCTTCACTTATAGACAGTGCTAATGAGTTCAATCCATGCTGGGAGTTCAATCCTTCAAATTACACCACCCTAGCAGAATGGTCTGCTAGTCGAGACTATTTAGTTGATGATGATTTCTTCACTCTCGGATTCAGACCCCAAGATGAAATTACTACAGAACTGTGATTAAAAAAAACATTACATGTAACTCTTCATTGAAAGTTCAAAATGAAAAAGATTCTTTGTACAAGTGTATAACACATATAATTTTCAAGTAGACCTAGTGCATTGTGAAAATAAAGTGTTTCATTATTTTCTTGTGACACCATGTGATGCTGTGAGATTTGATTGTTTTGACAAATTTGAATGCTTTAAACCAAATACGTGAGAAGAGATTCTTTGCTCAAGCATGTAGAATTTACTAGTCATTCTTCCAGGTATTCTTTTAGGTTTAAAGGGTTAAAAGAAAAGATACATTTTCTTTTCATTGGCAATAATTATATAAAATGCCAATTTCTTATAAATTAAGGAAGTACATTAAGAGTGTAAATATTGATAATGTAAATATTCTCTAAGACCATGTTTTGAAATACTAGCAAATGCTAATTTGCTTTCTCAAGTAGTACCACCGGTTTTGGCAGTAATTTGTATGCTCTTTGTTTAGAAGATTATATAGATGAAATATATACATGATAAAATTTTTTAGCATACTTGAACTATCTCCATTCAAATGGTGGCAATTTTTTGCCATTAGCATCTATCAAAAGAACTGTGTAACACAGTGGTACAAAATATAGTCTGAGGTGTTTAGGAAACATTTTATTATGCTAGTCAATTCTCATGAATTGTTATGTATACTTTCAATGTTTGCTATGGCACTAATCAGTGTTGATAAAAATAAAATATTTTTCTCTGTAAATTTTAATAAAATGCCTTCATCTTTATTTGTTCCTTGAGAATAATTAATAACTTATACAAAATTCTTATAGACAATATTATTAAAAGTACAGAGGGGCATTAAAAGAACCTTTAATTTGAAAAATTGAAAAAAGTTTTTAACAAAATAATTATTTTGTAACCACCTCAATTAGAAACGATAGTCTATAAATTAACATGATTAACATGTTTCCGTTATATTAAAAATAATAAGGGATTAATTTTTTTCCGTATATAGTACTTCAGTTGCGAAGGAATTTATGACTTTTGATAATAAATTGTGTCATCAAAGCCTCTGCAAGCTACTGAAGAAATAGTAGAAACGTAATATTGTCTTAAAAGAAAGACCATATATTTTTCTGTATGGTATAACTTAATATAAAAGAAACATATCCTTAATGATCTTTATATTGTAAGTTAAAACAAATATGAAGGTTATTAAGAATGGGCTTGAATTTCATTTATGACAGTATTTGTGAATACATTTTGCTTTAATATATAAGTATCATTTGCCTCTTTGCCAATTGTGATACATTCCTGGGTGAGTACATCCCATATCATACACCAAGAGCAGCAGAATAACTCTTTTTCAGAATTGGATCGCAGTGACATAGGTTCCCACAAGCCTATCCCAACTCACCAAAAAGAGGTGACTTTCTCATACAGAACCTTTTTGTGCATTGAAAATCATCCAACAAACTTCCATTTGGCTGCTTTCTAGTTCTTGTGCTACTTGTTTGATCAGCTAAAGGGTATACAGGCATACACTCTTGACTCAATTCTCTTAAGATTTACTATCCAGTGACGTTTTGTTACGGTACTTATGCTGTCAGTCATAGTTTTGTTTCCCATCACCCATGACCTTTGACTTGTGCCAGCCCTTGATCTTCAGGCATCATATGAGGTAATTCCCTCAAATAAAGGAACATGAGAAACAACAGATTGATGCTTCACATTTAAATATTGGTTTCAAATTATTTTATTAAAGTATAATAAATGTATGGGAACTGTTGCAAATAACTCAGCATTTTACATAGTATTAAAAGCAACCATAATCCATTCACTGAATGTTGATTTGAAAGCTCAAAACAGTAAGTAATTGACAAAACTATCAGTAAAATTTTAAGATCACTTTAATGATTAGACAAAAGTCAAAATAACTGAGCTATTGACACCAACTGCTCAGTGTGTGGAAAATTCAATAAATGCTCTGTATATATAGAAATCATTAAAATATTCATGAAAGCAACATAAACATAACAAATACTATTTAAACAAAAATTATATTTGCTTAAATAGTATTTGTAAAAAATACAATCAGTCTGAGATATACAATTCAAACAAATATCTGAAAAAACTTCATTCAGATGCAATAAATAACTTCTAACAATACAACATTCACATATGATATTTCTTGCAGTCTATAAAATGAGCAACAATGTTTTTACAGGTACAAAGTAACACACACATTTTAGAAATTTCATTGATGGCCAGTAATACAGGTTTTGTGCCTCATTCCAAAATACACATTTTCTCATTTGTTTTGTGAAATACTAATTACAGTTTAATTAATTAAACAGTTTTTTCAAATTGAAATCATGCAAGATTACTCCCAGCATAAATGTTTATGAAACAGAAAATGCCAAATTTCCATTAAAAATAGAGAAAATGATAAACCTACTTCATTTGCTACCACTTTTCCACCAACTGATATCATGCAGACTTTTCATATCTTTTTGTATTTCTTTGAAAAATTAACATGACATTTTTTTCATATGCCATTTGTGTATGCAAATTAGAGAAGTTAATTGTATGAAATTGTCTCTTTATTACTAAAAGAAGAAAGTAAATAAGTTTCATCAAACTGTAAAAACAAACTATTACGCAATAGATTTTATTTGAAAATAAGATATTTTATAACTCAGAATTTGTTCCAAATGAAACTATTTGAAAGAACATTATTCATAAGACAATACTCCCAATTTGGATTGTATTATATCAATGTTCTAAAGTCCATGAATTTATAAGTTTAGTAATTCACGTAAAGGCAACCAATTATATAAATAATAATAATAATAATAATAATAATAATAATAATAATAATAATAATAATAATAATAATAATATATGGCACGCACAATGACTTGCAAGCAATATTATTTTAACCTCGACATGTTCAATACAAAAAAGGCAAACTTGATAACATAAAAAGAAGTCTTTGGTTTTTTATATGTAAAGAAATCATATCAATATATATTTCTAAATGCTAAGAAACTAAAAATATTGCATCATCAATATGTGGTATTCTGAATCAGAAAGATCGACTAGATTTCACACTGCTCTAATTGAATTTGAAGCATGCCACACTGCACACTTGTTCATATTTAGCATTCTCTGAATGCAATTATAGATCTGCAAGTCTTCAGTAATGGTTGCTACCATTTTTTAAAATAATTACGATTGTAACCTACCAATTGGTTCTTGAACCAGGTGTATTATTCGAATTGCTTAACTACACTCTGTGATCTAACAGAAGTTAAGCAATTCAAAATACTGCAGATTCCTGGATGGGTGACCATCTGGGAACCCTGGTTATATATGGCGCTGAGCCTATAGCCAAAGGCATAAAAGGCATTGACTGACTGCAATGTTACAAGACACATAACTTAATGGATTACTCCAGATTTATATATGTTCAATGCCCAAGAAGGGGGCTAAGAGACGTGTTGCAAAAAAGATGCAAACAAACTTTTAAAAAATTGGATGAAATCTAAGGCTCAACCTGACAATCTTTTAAAAACAAGTTATAAACGTAAAAATTTAAAACAAACAACTGTAATTAAATAGTTTTTATAATGAAAAATTACTAAAAGGAAAAATTAATTTTAAAAAATGTATGTTTTCTTATTTTTGAATATTGAAGATTTGGAAACACAGATGTACTATATTTTACATTGAAGAAATTGGTAGGTATATCACCCAATTGAAAAAATCTTGGATTATTTTGAAGGCATCAGAACACCATATGCACATCTATATAATATCAGTAACCATCTTAAATAAAAGCAATGTGATGTATTATATACATACACATACAAAATAAACCAGTTAGAAGGTGGTACATCCAGTCACTAACAGAAAACATAAAATTTCCAACTTTGTTGGAATTAACTCTCATCACAAAAATATATCTTCACATGATATATGTGTTAGAAAGTTTAGTTCAGTCCAACAAAACAGTAAACACTAATTCTTGAGATTCAGACCAACTTAAGCAACACATATTTGTAAAGGTCAATAAACAAATACAAATCAACTTTTTGCTTAGTAACCATTCTCTAAAATGAAGTAAAAATTTAAACTTTAAAGACATGCAACAAGAAAGATAAATAATGTAATTCATAAAAAATTTCTCAATTACAAGTATGCTAATTGATACGTAAAAATTGTAAATTATATAATTTCTACTGTTGCAGAACGACACCCCTATGGGGACATGGATCTCTGCCATGGGTACCTGAGCATTCAATGACAGGTGCATGGGTTGAATCCCACATGCCAGGGCCACACAACTGACACAGACTGCCCAAAGTGCAAGGGATACGTGGCATCTGCCGAAACTGATGTAGAAGACCTCTCGCCTGACAGCATACAATGCTACATTAAACGATGTTCACAACACACTCATATACATAATATATACCTATAATCCTGAACATTTAGAACTGTCATAAACAATTAATTCTAATAGAGATTAAAAGAAAAATGTACCTTTCTCAATATAAGCTCTCCATCCATGTACATTGCTAAGGAACTGAAGTGCAACAACATCTCATCTGTTCTTAGATCTTGAGCAATAACATCATCAGAATAGATGCAAACAATAGCTAAACACAAAAATAAATGGAAATAATCTGTTAAATAATTTGCCCAGCATGCCTCCCACATTTTTAGTGCAACAGGCTCAGGAAATTCGCGTTTGAAACACCTAAAATAAACAGAAGAAAAACCATTTTAAAAATTGAGTATTTCCGTACATTCTTACGCGTTCTTTTACTACAAATTTTCTTACAATAGAATCCATCGATGACAGAACAAGAGCTCCATTGCATCAGCATGCCTTTGCAAATGGGCATAAAAATCAGGAACCATAAGATGAATAAGTTCTCGCAAATAATTCTGCAAATACACAATAACATATATTACAAGAAAGAAAATTATTAGTAGTAAATTTCATTAATTGAACAATACTTAAAATTCAAACTTACCAAATTTCGATCCATGTCATTATCTGTTGGGGTACATACAAAAATTGCTTTTTGCATTAAACCCACAAAACACCAAAATGCATCAGATTCGTTTTGAATTTCAGCCAAAACAGGAGCCAACAAATCAGACATCCCTTGTGTATATCCAAATTTTGGGTTGTAAACAGCATAATTTAGCAATATATTTCTGAAAACATTTCGTAAATATGCAACTTGTGAAGTAAACTACTCTTGACATGGAAATTGACAGGTGTTGAACAAAATATTAACAATGAATACATTGTAGTTTGATTTATTTGCAGTGGCACTTGACGTAAGTCAGCTGTTAAGAGTGTTATCCAATCACTAGCTGCCATGTCACTACAGTGACATTCATGCTCTCAATTGATTGACACTGTAACAGCTGATTAAAAGTCAAGTGCCATTACATATATATATATATATAT